ATACAGATCAACGTCACCAAGCAAAAAGAAGCTCCCTAGAAGTAAAAAAAAAAAAAAAAAAAAGCCAAACAGATGGATTCTTCCCGTGCCGCTGGCAATAATAAGTAGATTAATAAATAGATATATAAATTACAAAAATGAGGAATGAAATCTCAAAAAAAAAAAAAAAAAGATGGAAGCCACGAATACCTTATTTGGATCTTGAAAAATTTCTAATCGAAAAATCCAAGACAATAGTCCGTGTCCTCTCAATACCCTTATCATTATTATATCATCCTTATCATCCTCCCCAGCTTTATATAACCCACCTACATATCCCCCTAAACCTTACCTGCTGCATACCCCCCCAATCCTTTACCTGCTACACCCCCCCCCCTAAATCCCTTACCTGCTGCCCCCCCAATCCTTACCTGCTAATACCCCCCACCTTACCTGCTGCATACCCCCCCCCTAATCCCTTACCTGCTACATACCCCCCCCAAATCCCTTACCTGCTGCATACCCCCCCTAAAACCCCCCTTACCTGCTGCATACCCTAAACCCCTACCTGCTGCATAACCCCCCCCCCCTTACCTGCTGCATACCTCCTTTACCTGCTACCCCCCTAAATCCCCCCCCTACATACCCCAAATCCCTTACCTGCTGCATACCCCCCCTAAACCCCTTACCTGCTGCTACCCCCTTTACCTGCTACATACCCCCCCCCCCCAATCCCTTACCTGCTGCATAACCCCCCCCCCCCCCCCCAATCCCTTACCTGCTGCATACCCCCCCCCCAATCCTTACTGCTACATACCCCCTAAATCCCTTACTGAAACCCCTTACCTGCTGCATAACCCCCCCAATAACCCCTCCTTTACCTGCTACATACCCCAATCCCTTACCTGCTGCATACCTGCTGCATACCCCCCCCAAATCCCTTACCTGCTACATACCCCCCCCCCCCCCAAGCCCCCCAATCCCTTACCTGCTGCATACCCCCCCCTAAATCCCTTACCTGCTACATACCCCCCCCCCAAATCCTTACCTGCTGCATACGCCCTTACTGCTACCCCCCAAATCCCTTACCTGCTACCCCCCCCCCCCCAATCCCTTACCTGCTACATACCCCCCCCCCCAATCCCTTACCTGCTGCATACCCCCCACCAATCCCTTACCTGCTACATACCCCCCCCCCTTACCTGCTGTCCCTTACCTGCTGCATACCCCCCCAATCCTTTACCTGCTACATACCCCCCCCCTAAATCCCTTACCTGCTACATACCCCCCCCCCCAATCCTTACCTGCTGCATACCCCCCCAATCCCTTACCTGCTACTACCCCCCCCCCCCAATCCCTTTACCTGCTGCATACCCCCCCCCCCAATACCTGCTACATACCCCCCCTCCCTTACCTGCTACATACCCCCCCCCCTTACCCTAATACCCCCTTACCTCTGCATACCCCCCCCCCCAAATCCCTTACCTGCTGCATACCCCCCCCCCAATCCCTTACCTGCTACATACCCCCCCCCCAAATCCCTTACCTGCTACATACCCATACCCCCCCCCCGCAACATCCCTTACCTCCACCAGAGACACGAGGAACAGAAGCGTGTCCATGTCCTTCGGAAACGCCAGTGAAGCTCCCTTCAGCGTGCACGCCCTCAGCGCCCCTGCGACGTCGGTCTCCTGCGCGCGGAGGAGGTAGCAGAGGCCCCGGTGCTTCACGAACTCCGGAGGGCAGCTGGCTGGGGTGGGAAGGGGGGGGGAAGGGGGGGAAGGGGAAGGGGGGCGGTATGGGAGGGGGGGAAGGGGAAGGGGGGGAGGGGGGGGGAGTAATGTGGAGAGTGAATTTTTGAAGATTTGAGGGGAAATGGAGGGTAAGAAAAAGTGCAAGAACTTTCATTATTCCATCTTTCAATGATGACATAAATAAAATTGATAACAACAATGATAATAATAATGACAATAACATTAATAACAACAACAATAATAATAATATTGATAATGAAGAACAACAACAGCAACACAAAGCACCAGTGACACCAGCCCGCAGGCCCTCACCTGGCACCATGCACATCGGCAGACTGGTCGAGGCTGAACAGTTTTCCGTCTTCGTCTCAGCGCCTGCGGAGACGAGCAGACACGACGGGGTGGTCGACGCCTGGAGTGCAGATGGACGGTAAAAAGGTTACTTAATAAAAAAAATATATATTTTGGCATTCTACATACCCACCCACGCCCTGGTATCCTACACATTGAATAAAATACCTTTTATTCATTGAGTGCATGGATTATTAATAAAAGTAAGTATACTTTATTCCTTCAAGCTGAGCAAAAAATACAGGCCTTTGGCTCGACTCCCACTGCAAGCAATTCCACTTGAGAATCCTTCATGCATAGACATGAATCGCCCGCTCTTCTCATCCACAGGGCTATTCTGATGATTGGTCAATGAATAGATAACCATCAAAGTAATTATTTTCCTTCCTTTTTGAAAAATGAAAAGACCAAAATGAATAATAAACCCCATGTACTTTTTCCAAAAATAGAATCGCAACTTTTGTGAAGTCAGCCATGGCACCTCTTCGAGTTGCTACTGAACTAGCCTTTCCCCATCTGGAAGAGGCCCATGGTTTGTTTACGTTTGCCTGCTGATGGATTACGAGCAATTTTCAACATTCGTGGTCATAACAGTTTAGGGTATGACTGTAAACCGAAATCTCAATCATATAGATATTTCAGTTTTATGTGTTATGCATTTGTAGTTACCGAAATCCTGTAGATATGTCTGTTCCCGGCCCAAACCCGTCTCCAAACCTACTGCACTGTTATGCATTTATTTATATATATCGTTTTTTGAGTGGGTTTCTAATTTGGCATTTCGATATAGTTGGCCACTGCATGGTTTACGTTATGTATAGTATGGCAAGTCTTCCCATACATATCACGGATCGTTATAATTGCGTGTTTAATCGTGCCTGTATCACAGCATACTAAATCTGACGCAGGGCGATATAGGATACGTTGATCGTATCACAACCCTAGTTGAGATTAAGAAAAACTGTTTTCGCAAACCGTCATAAAAGTCACGTTTTATTTAGCCAAATTTTCTTCTTTTCTCTTCGGAAATTGCCATAAAACATCTATTTTATTTTTATTTTTTTCTGTTCTCTTCGCAAATGACCATAAAAGATCATCAATTTCATCTTACTTTCTCTCTCCACAAACCGCCACCATAAAAAAAAATCGCATAAAAAGCAAGAAATCCTCAAAAAAAAAAAAAAAAAAAAAAAAAATGCGTCGGCACCTACCTCAAAACACGCTCCGTCGGGACACAAGCCGTAGCCGGCGTAGCGCTGCGCCCTGACGGAGAAGAGGCGGCGCTGCCAGAGGTGCCACGAGGCGTTGTAGGCGGCGTCGGGGTCTGCCAAGGGCGCCACCGCCTCCTGGTATGTTGGGACTCTGAAGGGGGAGTAAGTGGTGAGGAAGGGGATGTGGGGAACGGTGAGGAGGAGGGAACATGAGGAAGTGAGGAAGAAGCGAGGTGAGGAGGAGGGAACATGAGGAAGTGAGGAAGAAGCGAGGTGAGGAGGAGGGAACATGAGGAAGTGAGGATGAGGCATGAGGAAGTGAGGAAGTGAGGAAGAAGCGATGCATGTTGACATTTAGAAAGGCAATCGTTTCTGACGAAGATATATTCGAAACCGGTAAAATACATCTCTTGTATTGGGAAGATATTCGTTCTCATTCATACCTTTCTACAGTAGTGGTGATGAGTGTGCCGAGTTGTGATGTTGAGGAATGATGGTAGTAATGATAATGATAATAAAGGTTATTGTTATTATTATTATTATTATTATTATGATAATGATAACAATGATGATGAAGATGATGATAATGGTAATAATAACGATAGTGATAACAATATAATGATAATGATACTGATAATGACAATGATGGTGATGATGATAATGATAATGACAATAATGATGGTGATAATGATAATGATAAGAATAATGATGGTAATGATGATATTAATCATGGCAGCGGTGATGATCCTGGTAATGAGGAAGATGAAGTCAATGATGATAATAATAATAATACATCAATAACAATGCTAACGCTGGTAATACTGAACTAATAACGATAATGTTAAGTACTATTACTAGTAATGATGGATGATCATATTACTAACGATAATGAAGATTATTCAACAACAATTATCATCATAACATTTATGGTGATAACATATAACAATTAGTGATAATCATTCTCAGAAATCAATAATCACTCACACTGACCAGGTGTTGCCAATCAGAATTTCGCAATCACTCTCTCGTTTGCTTTCAGTAAACAGCCAATGCAAAATGTTACAGGACATTTAGGCCTGGCTTAGCCTCCCCCCCCCTTCCCCATTCTACGATATCAGTAAAATAAAATCAGTTTTAGATACAGCAAAAGAACGAAAGAAAGAATAAAGAGAGATAAATAAAGAGAGAGAGAAAGAATAAAGTAAGAAATAAAGACAGAGAGAAAGAAGAAAGAAAGAAAAATGAATAAAGAAAGAAAGAAAGAAAGGAAAAGAGAAAAACACTCCCACACCAACTCTGCTGACATCAAGCAGTCCCCTTAAGGCCGTGTCACACTAGCACTTTTTCCGTCAATTTTTTGACAATTTTATTTAACATAAATACAAACATCTTCGAATATAGCTCTTGGTTTGACTATGCTTGGCTGAAAAAGTTGACGGAAAGGTTTTCAGACGGAAACGATCATCATCGTCTGACTGGAAAATCGACGATTCGCTCAAAAATGGACAAAATTTCAGAAAAATTGTCAAAAAATTGACGGAAAAAGTGCTAGTGTGACAGCACCTTTACCGTTGTGTGTAGCCTGTGTAGTAGAAACCAGCGGCCGCGTCTGACAAGTCGCTCGCCTCAAAGTCCACCGCTAAGGAGGCGTTGAAGCCACTGCATCTGTGTGGGCGAGGAGGGCGTTCGTTGACGAGAATGGGCG